AATTTGGGCCCAACATGATTCAACTTTTTCTATTGAAAATTTTATGTCAGGTCTAGGTATAGATTTCAAGTTATTGGCAATATATAGTGCGGCACCACCTGCCTTTGTTTTTGAGTCAGTATGAAAGAAATTATAATTCTTGATATCTACATTGGAACATGTTTCTCCATGTAATTTTGTTTCAGTAATTGCTAGTACGTGTGGTGCATGCTCTAGGGAGTATAAGATATCTTCTAAAACGTCTAAATTTTTTGGTAAACTTCTTATATTACAGTGTAGGATTGAAAGAGAATTTGGCATAGTTTCTAATGTTTTTTTTAAGTTTGTCAATTGAGAAATATTCAGAGCAGGGATTATATAGCATATGATCAGGATCAGATTCGTCTGATTTATCGGGGTTTAAAAACAAATCGTATAAATCAAAATCGTTATTTTTCCTTCCAGACCAGCTTCCAAACAATGCTCTAAATTCTTTATCCGACAACGAGTAAAACGGAAGATTACTTACTGTGTTTGTTTCGATAGCCATCAATGGATAATATAGTAAACATTAAAGTGTTCAATTTTGAGTTATATTAATTCATGAATGTTAGTTTAATTTCTTCCGTCAAGATAATCGTCGAATTGCTCATGACTCACAAAACTTAATGTAGGCGAGTCATCAGTTTCGCGTAGCATAATCTTTCCATTCACCGTCCATAAATACTTAAATTTGGATTCTTGTTTGAACTCGAGGATGCGACCGAACAGACGTTTCCTGTATGGTGTCAAAGACTCATTAATATGGATTCGCGTGTTCGACATCACCGATTGAAATATTGGGTTACCCGCGATTGATGGCAGATCTTTTGCGCGCTTTGATTTTAGCTTTTTCCTACTCGCATATATTTCCTGTTTCTTTACTCGACGGTTGAATTTAACTATAAGTCGATCTTTGACTTTTCTCGTCGAAGGCAAACGATGCGCAATTGAAATGTCACTCTCAGCGAGATCCACTCCAATTACCTCAGACAATTCTTTAACGAGTTTCGTTGGGTTTTCCTTTACTGCCGCTGGTATGCCAGTGATCTCAAGGCAATCTCTTCTACCATACTGCTCAAGTTCATCTAGATGCAGCTGCAAGTTGTAGCCGTTGTCATTTAGTTTGTCAACTTTGCCTTCCATTTCCTTTGCTTGTCGTTCGAGGCCGAGTAACGTTTTTTTAACTTCGCTTATTGTTGTCAAAATCGAGTCATATTTCTTTGACATGAACTCCTGAGATTTCTCTACTTCTTCGACTTTCCTATTGAGACTTTTTAAGTTGGTCTTTAATGGCTCTATTTCTTTGCGCAATTCAGATTTCATTGCGTCAATCTTTTTGTTGACTTCACTTATACGATCTCGGATTTCGTTTTGGATACTTGGCAGGAACTCGTTCGACCATATTTCTCGGAGATTTTCAACGGTTAAACTCATATTTTAAATATAGTAGAAGATTGGATTTGAAAAAGACTTTAAATAAACAGATATTTGTAATATTTTGCGGAGTGATTATAATACGGTGTTAAGCAGTAGCGGTATGTGCAGATCTATTATGATCATATAGAATATATGATCTATTATATGATCATATATATTCTATTATGATCATAGAAACATGAACTGTGATCACACGCAATGTCTCATCACCGGAATATTGGTCAGGTTTCGAAGCGATCACGGGAATTATGCCCTTTTTTGCTGGTATTATGCCCTTTATTATGCTTCACGAATCACAAGAGCGGCGCAAATTAGATAGTTTAAGTTATGATAATGTAAAGTTGTGTACGCAATTTAGTTGTTTGCGCCAGAAACATCATGGAGTAATGTGAGTAATGAAATAATGCTGAAACGCGCCCTTTTGAGAGCCAGGCAGGGAAACCTTATAAAATGCATATGCGTGGGGTCCGTGTGTTATTGTATAAAAGAGCTGTATGTTATAATTGTATTCAGATCACTAGATCAGTAGAGAATAGAATTGGGTTTAGATTAATCACTGGAAGTTGTTAGCATTGCATAATATAAGTACTACTACTACTAAATTCAAACCAAATTGCAAATTTCGACACGTTATAATGCCGTTTCCTGACCATCAGATTTCTGTCAAATCTTCCCCCAAAGTCCAGGAAATGGCATTTCAGAGACTCTAAATTCAAAAATTTTCCTGGGGGCATGTCCCCGGACCCCCCTGGACAAACCTCGCACCTGCGGCGCTCGGCTCGTGCCTTCGGCCCTTGTTTATCAAGCGAAACATTATAGGGGCGCATATTTGTTGACAACCCACTGGCCCCCCCAGAAAAATAGTACCCAGCACGCCACTG